TGCCTAGTCGTGATGCTTCTTTGTTCAGATTGCTAGTTTACGATTCGAGCATGTAGAAGTAGTGTTTCACTGTAAGCTTGTACGTGTACTCACTTCCAGTCTTCTCATAATTATAATAGACACACATCAAGTTGCACATGAAGTTCCATGCAAGATATTCTTTCCACTAGCGCTTCCTCGTTGGATGTAAGCTACAACGGCAGTAATGTGAGACACAGGTCAGTGGTCTACGGAAGGTTTTATATGGAGTTTATTTATATGGCTTTAACCAAATTGTTTGGCTGCAGATGTTGCTTTGAGATTATCTTCCGTTTTTCTTGGTCCAAGGCACCTGTGCGATTTTTGTGAAGGAGTGCCTGGGCCAAATTCATATAAATTAAAGGAAAATGCAATTCATTCAAACAAGTCATTTTAGAATTTAACTACCCGTCTCTTCGTGGGTTTGCACTATTTTTCTAGTAAATTATTTAAGTGTTGCAAATTTAATAATTCAAGTTATAGTCCTGATGAACTAAGTAGGCTGGTTTAATTTGAATCCTATAGAAAAAAAGAGAGGGTATGTATACATGGAAAAAAATTTTATTAAAGAGAAAGATGATGTTTAATTTTTAGTTAATTAAATATGAAAGAATGAATGGGAGTAAAAAAATAAAAATAAAATTGGTGTGAGTCATTTTAAGTTAGTTTGAATTAACTTGACAAATTTATATTTTAAGTTAAAAGGTTGGGATGATTTAATAAAAAAAATTAAAAAAATCATAAAACCATTATATATATATATATATTGAGTAGTGATATCAAGAACAAAATAAAATAAAAAATATTAATTTATGTTCATTTTCTAAACTAATAACTTAGTTTATGAAACCAAATCATTATATATATATAAAATCATGAAGTCTAATCCTTGCAACGTAGCACATTTAAAAATTGCAAATTGCAACGTAGCACATTTAAAAATAAAATCAAGAAAAATTATATAAAAAATAATAATAAAAAATAAAAAATAAAAATTGTATCAAGGAGCAACAATAAATTTTCAATTTAATAGTTAAATTAAAAGAAGTAAAAATATTTTAAAAAATAAAAATTTACAAATAACAAGAGAGCTAGGAAGGATTCTTTCTTAAATCAGCCTAAATTCACAACTCTTTTCAAATCCTGAATGGAAATCCTGTGTAACGATCTCAAAGACCAAAAGACCTGAAAAGCATGCAGCAAATTGTCTGCATTACATGCGAATCAACAGCGCTTATCATTAAGTACCCAATATTTAATGAAAAAAAATCCCGAAAAGAGGAGACAGCAGAATCCTAACATTCTATACTGAAAACCCTGCTGGTATAATGTTATCATCACACACTTGAAGCTTTACATAGATAAAGACAATATTTGATACGTGGTATAGTCTTAAAAAAATTATTTTTAATATTAATATTTTAAAATATAAAAAAAACTCTGAAAAATTATTTTTAAAATACAAACATACAAACAGAGGGTATGCTTCTAAGAGCATTCGGAAATATCGGCCAATTTGTATTTTTAAAATATTCAAAAAATTTTGTTAAAAATTAACTTTTTATGTTTAGAATTGTTTTTATATTCTAATCATAAAAATAATTTTTTTAAAATAAAAAATATTATTTTAATATATTTTAATAGAAAAATATTTTAATAAACGCTAATAGTTACAAGGGACGCAACTTCAAATTCTCGACATGAGCATGGAATAAAAGACGAGATAAGACATATCTGGAGCTCTCGAAATCCAACAAAAACATTTTATTTTATTTTTTAAAAAAAAGGTGACAACAAACCAAACCCATAAAACAAAAACCAAAATCTCACAAACAACACTGATTTCTCAATGGATTCAATATCTATCTGTCTGCAACAAATTCAAGAAACACACAAATGAAGAACAAAAGAAAAGAAAAATGGATCTGATAAAAAACCTTAAATAAAAACACAACTGAGGGATCGTTGATTTTGTGGGTTAGCGTTTCTTCGAGTGCCTGGTGGAATTAGACTATATATTTTAGTCAGCCACTCCAGTTCACGTTCTTCTGGGTTTTTTTCTCCTTTTTTAAAGTTTTTTCTTTTATTTTTTGTTAACTTGTGTAAAAATCTTTTGTTAATTATTATACATTAATTATATCATACAGTAAACCTAAAAGGAAGAAAACTGTTTTTTTTTTTTTACTGCGCTTTGCCTCTGTGGATCTATTCAGGTAACTCAACTTTGTTTTGTTTTAATTTTATCATTCTATGTAATGTTTGCGATATTTTATTTGTTGTTATTTTCTTCTTTTTATATTTTCTTGAAAATTTAAGGGTTTTATAAAATTTTATAATTGAATTAAAGTTCACTTTGATTAAATAAGATTTAAATTTGTACCATTAAAAGTAATTAAAAGAAGAATGATTGAAATAAAAATGAAAAAAATAATAGAGTTTTGTTTTATTTTCATGAGAAAAGCATAATTTTCATTCTAAAAGTCTTAATTGATGTATCTTTGGTTCTTTTAATTTTAGACTTTTATTTTTTAGTCCTAATTTTTATTTTTTCACATTTTAGTTCCTGAGCTTTAAGGGAGAGAAAATCATTAAAAAATTAAGAAAAAATCAATTAACTACATTTTGACAGTAAAAAAAGTCAATCTTAATAACAAATATATATATATATATATATATATATGTTGATTTTTTTATCACTAGAAACAGTAGTTCGAGGTTTAAAAAAATTTATTTAATTTGGTTTAATTTTGGATTCTCTAACAGATTTAAGGGTTTTTAAAGGTTGAAAATGAGTATATTGAGGCGTTTAGGGTGTTTCTAAGAGTTTTTCAGATGACAAAAAATGTTAGTAAAATAACTTTTTAAATTTAAGAACTTGAACCTTCATTTTGCGTGACCGGTTACCAATAGATGCAAGCTTTTTTTTATATTTAATTTATTTGAAAAATGTTTTTTTCCCTTAATATCAACGAGAGGGAAGCACCTTAGAAATTACATACGAATAAACCGAGAAGTTGTCACTAACAATTGTCAGATAATCAAAAAGAGCCTCTGGAAAATTATGAACACCCAGCTGAAGAGGATTTGCAATTGTGCAGAATTAGCTAACCAATCCGCACATCTGAGAGAACGAACCCGCCAAGGCCATTGCAAGAGAAAGATAATGGAATGAATTAATTGAGATCAGTTAGGACCAGTTGGCTCATTGTCGGCATTGATCATGTCCACTGCAATCTTAGAGTCCACTTCCAGCTCAAAGTTTTGAAACCAGTCATCCCATGCTAAATCCAAGCCTGTGTAAATACCTCAGAGTTCCGCCGTTACGACTGAACGGCAGCGAATATTAAATGCAAAACCACCAAACGTCACACCAGCATCATCTCGGATAAGCTCACCAACCGTAGCCAAACCAGTAGCATAAATTAAAGACCCATCCATGCTAACCTTAATAACACCTCTAGCAGGAAAACACCACGATATCAACAGCTCCTGTTTCTTGGCAGCTGGAGCTAGCTCATAGTTAATCAAAGACGACGCGCACCTCACAATATTAGCAGCCATATATAGAGACTTGAGAACCACCAAAGGATTAGATGGAGGCGAAAAGGAGGGATCAAACACAGCTGCATTTCGCCAATTCCAGAGTTGCCAGCATGTGCTAACAATTCAAATATCCCAAGAAACTTCCCAAGAGATCACAGCCCATGGCAACAGGTTGTAGACAATCCGGCCTGTAAACCGAGAGGTTGACAGCTACTCCAAACCTGCTGAGCGAGAAAAATCATTACGCAGAACATGAAGGATGGATTCACACTCCCCTCTCCTGACGTACGTTCAACGAAAAGTAGGGTCTCGCAAGAGAAGTGGGAAAGATCTATTCTTCTTCTTCTTTTGAGCATGAAACAGTTCTCTAATGAATGGAAAGGTTTTGATTAATTTACATGCACAAAGCAACAGCCCTTCGAGGAAGATACTTATTAACTCAATCTGCCTCGGCTAGAATATTTCGACGACAGAATCGGTCTCGCTTCTCCCGTTCCGTCGACAGCCAAATGTATGGGACTTGTGATTCAAATAAAGGCCCAGCATTATATGTTTTTTAAACCATGGATGTTTTTATTTACAATTTTTGTTATTGATATTTACTCCGAGGGGTATTTTTGTTATTTTTATATATAATTTTATGATTCCTTTATTGTTCTTGGTTTTAAGAAAGTTTTTCTGTTAATGTTGCTCAGTCATAAGGTCATTTTTTATTTTATGCACATAAAAAAAATTGTTGACAAATACTCTACGGATGCGCCACTGACAATAATAATTGAAATCAAGTTTTTAACTTTATAATTTTTTAAATATATCAAAAATTAATTTAAGATTTTATATATTTTTATTAATAAATATAATATTTTATTATATATAAGTGTTTGAGTTTATAATTCATAGTTATATTTTTTATTTAATGTAAAAAATACATTAATAACAATTATGTATTAATTTTTTTATATTGAAAAAAATAATTATTCATAAATAAATTAGATAGACCTGTTACCACTTTATTTTTAGTATTTATTGATTATCATAAATTTTTTATTTATAATTAAATTTATTAAATTTTTAGACCTGTTACATTAATAAATTTTTTATTTATAATTAAATTTATTTTAATAATAAATTTAAAAAACATGCAAATATATTTTTTTGCTAAATTTTTTTATTGAAACCGTGGTGACGTGCGGGTGACATGACTAGTATCATTCTTACAAATGTAAGAAAGTAATTAACTTAAATGTCACACGTGAAAAACATCCATTCATCGATTCAGTCAGGTGGGGTAAGAAAAGCAGAGCACTCACTGTCTGTCCTACTCATGCTGTCATCCTGTGATACCTTAAAACACCAAAACTGAAGTAACCAATCAAATTTAATTAACCTTAAAAAAACATTTTCTATATATAATTACGTATAATTAATTCTCTCTCTCTCTCTCTCTCTCTCTCTCTGTCTCATTGTAAACTCTCTTCTTGTGTCTGGAAAGTGGAGCTCATTGTAAACTCTCTCTTCTTGTGTCTGGAAAGTGGAGCTTGGCATCAGGAGCTTTTAGAGAGAAAAAGCCACTGAAGAAGCTTCCTTTCACTGCCTCCCTCAGGTTTCTCCCTCTCCTATTTTATTATTCTTATTCTTGTAGGAGAGAAGAGTAGATCTTTCTACCTCTCTCTCTCTCTCTAGAATTGTCCTTTTCTCTCTCTGAAAAATAAAATTTAATATTTTTGGTTTAAATTAATTGAAGATGCGTCGGTCTGCATCGAAGAAGACGGGTCAATCCATTTCTACCACTGCTTCAATTACTTCTTCGGCTACGGATCTTTTTCGCTCCTGTATCTCCTCTCTGTTTTTCTTTTAATTTTCATTTTTTACTCAGTTTTGATTTCTTATTTATTTTTCTAATATGTTTCAATTGATTTTTTAAGTGTTGAATTGGTTTAATTCTGATTTTTTGGGTGCGGAAGTAAACTCTTTTTTCTGGAAAATTTATTGCCTTTCTTTTAATGGGTTTTATTTGGATTAGATTGGAAAAAAGAATAATGGAGAGCTTATTAGTGTGTGGAGTTAGTTAATTAATTATGATTTTATTGTTGCAATTAAGTAAATAAAGATGATCAAGAGGTGAAATTTAAATAAATAATTGAATAAATAAGTAAGACATATTGGTTGTTTAGCCCAAAGAATAGCTGTAATGGATTGGTGTTTGTATGAAGTAAAAACCTTTAATCGTAAGACTTAACTACTACTACACGATCAAGCTAATTATTGCTTCCTTCGTAGGGAAAGATATATTGGATTGGATGCTTGTCAATCAATGTTCAAACCGTAAATGTTTGGTTATTGCAAGAAACTGAATTCTTTTTGTTCTTGTTTGGTTTTGCCATTCTCAATGGGAAAAATAGTTGCCGTCTCTAGTGCCCACATTCATAGTAAATTGTCTGAAATCAAGTGTCTTAGTGGCTTCTTCTGATCATGGATTCATTATAAATAAATAAGGGAACTATTGGAAAGGTGAGAGATGTTAGATGTTGAAGAAAGTCCGTGAACAAAAATTTGGGACATCATAAAATGAAAGGAGGGTAAAAGTTTTGAGACAACAAGGGCAATATTACGCTGAAGGTTCAAAATCTTCGGCTTCTACATGATGAAAATCTCAATATTGTTCTGCTTATAGCATCTTGTGAAAAAAAAAAAAAATCGAGCATTTATAGGTAGAATGAACATTTGCTATTTGTAGATGCTTGGAAAAATACGAGCATCTATATTACAACTTTTTAAAAAGGTTCTACTGTGGAGATTATTTTGAAATTCTGTGTGCATTAAAGACCATATGAATAGCGATTAAATGTGAACAGGAACGAGGGACAACTATTTGTAAGAGTATGACACTGAAAAGAAGTTGTGCACTTTTTAGCTATGGAATTCTTGGACTAAATGAAAACTAGGAATACAATGTAATAGCATGTTTGAGGTTGCTTTTACGGAATGTTAGCATTATTCTTTGTCTGAGTTTATCTCAGTGCTATTTTAGGGTTAACATTTCATTAAGGTTGTAACTGGATAAAGTTTTGTCCTTTTAGCCTCAAGTAAAGCATCTTCAAAAGAAATGGAGCGAATCGATAACCTATTTTACTCATATGCAAACAGGTCTTCTGGTATGATTGAGTAAGTTTTCTCCATTGAAATACGGCTTTTGATTGTTGAAGTGTTTATTAGCTTTTCATCATTGAAATAATTGAAAATGTCAGTTGTGTTAATTTAAATTGCTACTGACTGGTGATTTTCAAGTTAAGGAGATGATATGTTTGTAAGTTACTTAATTACATATGAATGAACTTCCTGTGATGATGATTTTTGTATGCAACACTTCGCCTTCATATTTCAAACTTCAACTTTCTGTGTCTCTGAGCTTCAATGTCAATTGGTAGGAAAAATTCCAGATTTCTTAGAAATCTTTTTTAAAAAATTCTTAGGGAATGTTTTTTTGATTAGGTAATGCATTTTTGATATTGGACATGTAGTCAACATGTCTTTCCCGTAAACTTAGCTCCTTCCTGACAGGGGTTTGGTGAACCTTGATTCCAACATTAAAAGTGAGAATCCAATGAGAAAAATGGAAAAGCGTGGAAAAAATCTGTTAAAAAATATTGCAGGCATAAATCAGAATCAAACTCAAAATATGGAAGGAAGTCCTGTGTGGAACTTCTGCAGAATGAATGGAAAGCCAACGGAAACTAAATGGAGACGATCCATATGTATTCAAAGTAGTCTTGATGAACTCTTGTAATTTCGTTATCCTACAGGAGGCTAGATTTTTAGTCAATACCATCTCGCGATGGTAGGTTGAAAAGTACTAGGGGTAGATTCTGTCCACGAGTGAATTCAAGTGATAAATGATAGCAAGTTGAACTGCCATCACAACAGTGAGGGAAGCTTCTTTCCTTAGCAAGAACATGAGGGTTTACCAATAATTGGAAGTTTATAAGAACTAGCACGCAAAAGATGAATTGTAACAGGAATTCGAAATTATGATAATTCAGTGTGTATTCTCGCTTTCATAAAGTAGAGTACATGTTTCTGCTTAAGTTTTTATATCAAAGAATGATTTAAGGTCTATCATTTTAAGATTTGTCACTGCATTTCTAATGTTAAAAATATGTCATTTGAACAGCCCAGAAGGAATTGAAACTCTATGTTCAGATATGGAGGTGGATCATACTGATGTTAGAATCTTGATGCTAGCTTGGTAAGTTAGACTGGAAGGTATTAGTGACCGTGCTTAACTTTTGACCTCTAGATTATGTGTTGAAACTGATGGACCATACATACCAGGAAAATGAGAGCTGAAAAACAGGGATACTTTACCCTGGTAAGGAACATCTGTCTTCTATACCCATCAATTTCTACTAAATCAGTCACTTTGATTCTTGTTTCTATTTTGATGTTATTCGATAAATATGTCATCTACTTTTTATCTTTGACTTTCAATTTTGACTCGCCATTTTTTTCCACCATCCAATAATAAAATGTATTAGTTGTTATTAGCAGCCTTTTAATTGATTTTAGCTTTCAAGGAGATGCTTGGATAGTTTTCTGACTTGTTATTCTATGAAGCGAGATTTGTTGTGGCTTGTCGTCTTCCATTTGTGCATGCATGATTTGTTGTACGATCTAAAAGTTATACATACAAATATGCGTTGGGATATATCTTAAGCTCTTAAGTATTTGTTTTCGTCTCGTTGTTCCTTCTTCATGTTGATCTCCATATACCCAAAACTGTCATCACTCTCTTATACATACAAATACTTGCTGGGATATATCTGAAGCTCTCGAGTATTTGTTTCCATCTCCTCGTTCCTTCTTCATGTTGATCACCATATACCCAAAACAGTCATCTCTCTCTCTCTCAATATTACATAATTAGTAATATCACTCGCTTTTCCCATTCTTCTCTCTCTCACTAGAATGTCTTGTTATTCATAGGAGGAGTGGCGACAGGGCCTCAAATCACTGAGGGCTGATACTCTAAATAAATTAAAAAAGGCCCTCCCGGATCTAGAGAAAGAGGTATGACCTTTACTTGATGAAAGGAACTGATCTAAAGATGGTTGAGAATCTACTGATCTTTTATTCTCATATCTAAAAGGTTAAGAGGCCATCAAACTTTGTGGATTTCTATAACTATGCATTCCGGTATTGCCTAACAGGTATTATGAGTTCAAAGTGGAGTGTTCTCACATGCGGAAACATTATCTTTCTCAGTTTCTCTCCTTATTTATGCTGCTCTCACCCTTTTTTTCCGGGTCAGAGGAGAAACAAAAGAGTATAGACATAGAGAGCATCTGCCAATTGTTGGATCTTGTTTTAGGATCCCATTTCCAGGCCCAGGTTGATTTCTTCATTGAGTATCTAAAGGTCAGTGGCCACATTTTTCATTTGTGTTTTCTGAAATTTGCTAATGTTTGTATTCTAGTTCTTGATTGATAATGTCAAGGGTCATTTTTTATTCTGGTGCTGCTAGATTCACTAACAATTTTGTTATTCCCGCTAATTGATTTTCCAAATAACTAAAGTACCCTCCTCTTTAATTTTATCATGTTCCAACTCACCTTCACTAGTGTTGATGTGAAGAGGTTACAACGGTCATTTTAAAAAGTAAATATTGGGAATAACAAATTTTGTAGTGAATTTGACAGTACCCTTTTTATTTATGTTTTTTTGCGTTTGATCGACAAATTTATGATTCTTCTCTCTGGTCTATTAGCTTCCTTTTTTTTCCTTTTTCATTGAAGTTTGATGTGCTAGGTGATCTAGGCAACTTCATTAGCTAAATTTGAGAGGAAATGCCCCGTTTTTTTTTTTTTGGTTCATGTATTTTTGTTTTTTGGTAGTTGTTGCTGCCCCTGATGAACTGTGCTTTCACTGTGAGTGCAGATTCAGAGTGATTATAAGGTCATAAACATGGATCAGTGGATGGGCTTTTACCGTTTTTGCAACGAGGTACTTCCTATTCTTCACCAGATAACTCGAAATCTCTTGATTTCCCTTCATTTATTTGACTAGTTATAGACCTAGTGGTGTGCTCCATGCACCTTCCATCGTCTTCATGGTATTTTGTATTGTGTTAGTGCATATCCATGAATGTGTAGGCACCTTAACAGTACAGTTCCCTTCACAAGGTAAAGCAGAAGAAAAACCGAAGAGGGAATAAAATTTATTTCCTTTCGGCATTGGCTTGAATTCTCTGTTGATCCTTCACTATATGATACCGATGTCTCTGCGCTTGCCTAGTTGCCACTGTCCTATAGATGTTTCTGCTTGTTATCATGTTGCCACTCCATTGACAGTTTCAAATCTTTTAACAGATAAGTTTTCCAGACTTCAGTAATTATGATCCAGAGCTTGCATGGCCCCTGATCCTGGACAATTTTGTAGAATGGATGCGAGCCAAAAGGACCTAAAATCCAATGCTTTTGGTTACTTGGTTCTCAGCTGTAAACCATTGTTGTTATTTGAGCAGGTAGTGGTGAAATCCATTTTCTTTTCCCCACCATTTGGGAAATGTTATTGTTTTTCATCCCATGCCTGTTCTCTATTTTCTCCCTCTCTCTCTCTTTGCTGTTTGTTAAGATGTGTGATTGATTTGTTTGCAGGATTATTGGAACTACACCAATTGAACTCCCCTGTATTTGTAACTTCCCTTGTTACTTGGTTTATTTTAATCCTGTTCTCCACCAAACTTTGTATTTCACGCTCAAATTCAAAGTGATGTTTACTTGTCGTTGTCCATGCAAGTTCTGCTTGTTGCTGGGATAGATACCGTTCAAGAAAATTCTCCATTGAGTTTGAGTAGATTTTTCGTGGTTGGGTTGGCAGTGTTTAGTACTGTGATTTATGATATTTTTTAAAAGTATTTTTGTATTTAAAAATATATTAAAATAATATTTTTATGATAAATATATTTTTAAAATATATTTAAATTAAGATGAAAATATAATCTTATTCAAGTATGTTCAAGAGCATTCAAAGTCAATTTTTTTTTATTTATATTTTATTTTATTAATATAGATATTTAGATTAAGTTGTCTGTGTCTTAATTAATTTTATAAATTTTAATATTAATGATCATATAAATCTCATTGAAGCATTACATGTGATGTTGAAGAGCATTCAAAGTAGTTAAATTATACATCATTGCAGTGAATCAACATAGTAAAACTAAGGAAGCAGTTTAGTTTTAATATATTGATTCATTGCAACAGCTCAGCGCATAAATCAATTATGAGTGCCAACAGCCAGGCAGCCAAAAAACGTATAGCTTGTAAATGGTTTTTTTTTTTAAAGAAAAAAAAATCATGAATTTTGGCGAATAACAAATTTGAAAAAAAAATAGTAAAATAGTATATTTCTTGGAAAACGTAGCTTTTATTAAATATTATCATTATTGAATACAACAAAATAATTATCATGTTTATAAAGTGTGATATTTAAGTAAATGTTGCTTTTCCGAGTCAAGACAACTTCACATATAGTTTTATCTGCACTTTCTTCCGCCGTGGCATCCATCCCACAGCTAGCCATATGATGCGCAGAAAATAACATGGTCCAATTCTCTTCCCCTTACCTCAGCCCTCCAGGTATTGTGATTCTGTCCCAGAACTCTTCCAAATCCTTCTCGCTAATACCTTCATAGACTATTATTTGGCCATCACTACGGTAAGTGCCCACTTTCACAGCTCCAGCTGCAATGAAGATTCACAAAGCCTTCCTCAAGCCCATTTTAAGATTTTCCTCGTCTATCTCGTCTAGATGATTCCTGAACTGACCCTCCCCCTTCACTTCTCCTGAACCTCGATCTCTGACCATTGCAAAGATGTGGGCATTTCTTGGATACCTTACCATCCTCCCTCGTATACTTTTCTTTTCAGACAAGATATATCCTCTGGAAAGTATCCCCAGACCATTAAGTCTGGGTGGAGATTTCTATGAAGGGACATGGAAGAAGAATTTTCAAGAAGGGCGAGGGAGGTATGTGTGGAAAAATAGGAATGAGTATGTTGGTGAGTGGAAACTGGAATGATAATATAATACCAAGGATAAAAGAAATACAGTTTAATTGTTATTGTCTTCCTAACCATGATATCAATTAAAATTTTATCTTGAATTAATTATCAAGTTCTAGAATTATAATATTTAATAAATATTGTGTTTCTGAAAAAAGGTGCTGTTTTGCTATTTGTGAAGGTTAACAGTGTTGTATTCTTCAACACGATTGACAGTGCTCAAGGAAACAGGCCGGTGCTTTTATCTTCCTCCTTTTCTTTCCCCCTTTTCTTTCGGAAAACTGGAACCCTAATACAGTGCTCAAGGAAACAGGCTGGTGCTTTTATCTTCCTCCTTTTCTTTACCCCTTTTCTTTCGGAAAACTGGAACCCTGCCATGAACTTTGAAGTTAGGACGAAACTAAAGTTTGGTCATTCAAGTTGTGGTTGATGCAAGAGTTGGATATATTTGTCATTCCATCAGTCAGATTGAAGAAGACTACTAAGTTGATCTAACACTTTTGTATTGTTTAAAAAATGAAAAATTGGAGATGAGTGTTAAGACCTTGCCACCCCGCAGAAGTGTGGAGTTTGAGATGAAGTATTTAGATGGGAAGCTGACCAAACAATTTCCTCAAGTTCGTCTGTGATAAAGAAATCTACAGTCCTGGCTCTCGAGTTTCCATATGATGGACACAAGCAAAAATGTTTAGACAGAATGATTTTTTCATGCTGCGAAAAGGATTGAACAGCCTTTGCAGGAAGAAGGAAGATTTTGAGCTGCACAATTGATAGCCATAGCCCTCGATTGGAAAACGACATGGGATACCCTTCTTTATGTCATGCAATCAGTAGAGGTTTCACCAAACTGAATAGTGCAGGACGGCACACCGCATTGTATTCCATGGGAAGCAAGAGCAAGGAATAAAGTAAATGTATGCTGCATTCAACTTTTCTTAATTTTCAAGGCTTGAAAGTCCAAGATTCACTGTCTTGCATGTTGAATTTCACTTTGACAAAGCAAGTATTTGTGCCTCTCATTTCAAGGCCCTTTACCAATCAAGAACTGCAAAATTTCACGAGATGCTTTAACATTAGCACAAGATATGACTTTTGCTTTCTCACTCTAGACATCCTTTAGTCTTTTCACCGAATGGAATCATATCTTTGTCCACATGCTTTCCAAAGATGACCAGTTGCTCAGTTATGTTTTCAGCTAAAAGAAGCCCCAGCCACAGTATTTTCTCAGAAACTTGCATGTTCAATATAGTTCACTAGTTATATGAAAAAATGAGTCCAGGTGAAACACAAGAATTACCAACATGAAAATGTGCACCAAGCAAAATCTCTTGATTAATTTCATATCTCAGGCGATACTACAGGTTGATTTGTGCAATACTGCAGAGACATAACATCACTTGCCAAAAAAGTTGAAAGCATACACATTTACAATTATGCGCTGCATGCCTGCATAATCCCTTCAACAATATGTTAGCACCACAAAAAAACCAAGAAAAGAATGATGAAAAAGAAAAAAAATAAAACTATAATTTAAGGATTTTGCTTCCCCTCGTTTTCTTTGAACAATTTCAAGAAATCAAAAATTCAGTTCTTTAAGATCATCAAGGAGATGAAGAACGGAGAATCAAGGGTGAAGATGGTGGAAGAGCGCGCCTGCTTCTACTTCTACCACGAACTACAGGTGATGATGACGAAGATGATGAAGAATTAGAAGGTGTGAATCTGTTGGACTCACTTGCCAATTTTTTCTTCTCTCCTTCACAAGCCTTATCTTCAATTTTATGATGCTGAACTCTAGTTGAATTTAGATTTGCAGGAAGAACACAATTGCATAGAAAGCCTGCGAAAGATCAGGAGTAAGAACCATTGCAAGTTAAATACTAGACAACAGCACTAGCCAAGCATAGCACGACTTGACAAATATCTAATGCTTTATTGCTACAACAAATGCAGAATTTCACTCCACATAGAGAACTGCTTAAAAACTGACTGCTTTTTTCATCCTGGATTGGATTTTGACTAGTTTTTACCCGTGTACAATTCAATAGGGTTTGAATTAGAGGAGATTATCGGATTTGTTATGAAAAAGGAACCAAATATTATCACGAACTTTAATGCTTTTTTTTATATATAATTCATTCACAATTCTTCATTATGCTGAAGAAACTGAGTTTTGTGGTGGACTCAAATCTACCTACTATTCACCTACTAAAATGGCCATTAATGCCCATTATAGTCTCGTATCAACATCATCAGTTCATCTGTTCATTCAAGAACCAAATCATCCATGTAAATTGTTGAAAGTTAGCACTCTACTTCACAGTTTATAACTGTAATACTCAATTGAAAAACTCATAAACAGAATTGATGAGGTTTAATTCTTACCAATTCGAGCAAGCCGATTAACCCAGCTTGGGATGGGATTGCCAGTAAGTCTAAGACAAGCATCGTTGCAGAAATGGTTGCAGTTCTTGGTTATCAAATTATAAGCATTCCCTCTATATACCTCTGCTAGCTCCTCCATCATTGCTCTCACTTCTTGAGGACCCAAATCTGTTTTCCCAATCAAAATTGTCTTTCTAAATCTAAACCCATCACACTGTTTTGGTTCTGCTTCAAAAATTCCAGTTGTTGGATACTCATGAGCCCCAAAAGCATACTCAATACCATGAACTGCAGCATAATATGTTCCCCGTTTTAATCTTACTAATATTGTTCTTTTCATATAAACAGATTGAAAACATTAAAGGGAAAAAAATTAAGAACAGTGAAAAAAATATTTAGCCTTTGATAAGAGCCGTGGAGATGAAAGAAGGAATCTTTAAACATTTCCTAAAGAAAAGAACCTCACTGTGCCTAAACTTTACCAAGTGTCTTGTTTCCATGGATCTCAGAAAAGAAACCCAAATTTCTAAATTCAAAAATTCTTGCAGATTCTCATTAACCAAACAACCTGTTCTAAAGCTACAAATTAACACTCAAAGGATGAACTTCAAAGAACACCAAAGAACACCGCTTTTCCTTGAAGATTCAACGCACCAACACTGTAAACGATCTAAATTAAAACATAAAAGCAGATCCAACTAGCAATGTATCATATTCAATAATAGAAACGTTTGAAAGGTATGCAACTTGACAAAGATTCAAAAGAAGATGCCAACACTCATAGCACTAACCTTGAACCCCAGAATGATAAACTCCGAGTCCAAGCCAATAAGCATATCCGTTAATTGGTGTCAGATCATAAACATTAAGGCACACAGGCACAGATCCTGTATTCTTACAACTCAATTTTTTTCTACACAACATTTTCTCGTTCCTTTCCCTCTCTTCTCATTAGCCACTACTCTTATCACCAAATGAACCCATGACAACATTGATTGGGTGGGACATGATATATAGTCATGTCCTTTTCAACAACTATTATCTGTTTCAATATAATTGAACTCACTCACTATCCAACAAAATCTTAAGAGAGATTGGTGGAAGTTTAAAAATATGTTTTTTTTTTCCTTTTTGTGTTTTGAAAGCTGGTAAAGAGAAGAATGAGAATCTTCTATTTTATGGGCACCTACAGTGCGGCACTCCATTAGTGCCGCACTGGGTTCTATTTAAATTTTGTTCCTTTTTTTTTTTAACATAAGAATTTTTATGCGCAGATGATGAGGCTTGCTTTGTGTTTTAAATACGCACAAACTGTTTCTTGCTGTCATGAAATATAAAAAACGAGAATAATGGATAAAGGACATGCCTTTTTATATATTATTTAAAAATAAAATAAAAATCCATTTCAAAACTGTTTTTTAAACCCATTTTATATTTTCATCTTTTTAATCAAAAACACTAACCAAATACAAATGCAATTTTAATGTCTGTGGGGCATGAGTCGTTATATTTTTGTGTCATTGTTTTAGGTTTGAATTCAAGAAGAAATGTTGAAAAAAGGCATTTGTATATTAATGTATAGATTCAAAAATAAATGATTTATTTGAGATTTGAAAATGGATTCAGAAAAACCTCAACTTTAATACATAAAAACATAATAAATGTTAAGGAAATAAATAAATAGATAAAGAAAAAGAAATGTGTCTCGGTGGTTGCAAGATTGTGAGCTGTCTTTAGGGATTTGAGATTGTTTTGGGAGAAAGTAACGTTTGCTCATTATAGTTCTTAGTGGGGGGATCATATTATATTATTAATTTATTATGATATGGGAATAGTATAGTCATGATTAATGACTGGATGACCTATGGATATATAAAGGTCTAAAACATAGAGAGATTCTAAGTTAATTTATACAATATGCTTCCAATTTACATGGTTTCCTTCGAGTCAACTCTAGTTAGGATGTAAAAGAAATTCAAAGATCATCATGCACTAGTTTGATGATCTTTTGAAGCATTGTTATCTATGGGCTGTAACCTAGTTTGATGATCCACGTACTCAATCATGAATCGGTCATGAAGGGGAAAAAAAAATTTCAATGGCATGTTTAATTTAATCACTTAGAATAAAATATCAATAATGTAGTAGCTTTTAGTTGATGCAAGTAACAGTTACTCTTAAAAACCAGTCATGGAAATTTTTCTTTAGTTAATTTATTGATTTTCTTTAATTAACACAAAAAATATTTTAAAAAAATAGCATAATGTTAAAGATATTTTAAAAAATAACATGGTTTTTGCATTGAACTGTTCAAGTTAACATAAGATCAAGAATTTTAAGTGGCTGTGATGTTTTTACCGTCCCAACTTTTGTAATTTTTTTTTGAATTACATTGATAACAACATAACTTATATAAATGTTATCGTTTTATTAATGCAATCCAATAACTATTATATTTCTTTAAATATTTTTTAAGTTATGCTTATTTTTTTTATTAAATTAATTGACAACTCTTAATTTATTGTGTATAATATAAGACAGGTTAAGAAAAAAAAAACTTCATATAAAGGTATTTAAGAGTATTGTAACGGTTGTCTTTTAAAATATTTTTTTATTTAACTTCATATAAAGGTATATATATATTTAAGAGTATTGTAAGGGTTGTCTTTTAAAATATTTTTTTATTTAAAAATATATTAAAATAATATATTTTTTATTTAAAAAAATTATTTTTAATAAAAATACTTCAAAATAATTTAAAAAATATCAAAAAAATATTAATTTAAAATAAAAAATTAATTTTTTATAAAATATTTTTAAAACACAAAAACTAATACATTCACAAACAAACTCATGAAATAGTGGCAACAATCAACACTTGTCTAGGTTATATGTGCCAGGGATGAGGAACACGATGAGTTTTCGATAGTGACAAGGTTGCTTTGGCATTCCAGCCATGGAAAAGTAGCTAGGACTTCCAAAATTTTGTTGGAACAAGAATGGTAATTTGATTTTCTTGTTTTTTGCAAGAGAGTAATGTGTAGACATTCACTAGCTGGATGCTACTGTTCATGATGGAACTTTACATGATTAAGGAAACTCTACCTTTCCTGCGCTGGTCCTCGAGAAAGGAAAAATGGCTTCAGATCGAGGAGTTTGCCCTTTGGAAGCGCAAGGATGCCATGGATGGCAGGCACACAGTTTCAGAGGCTGTCCAGGTACATTAATTTTATCCCAAAAGGGGCTTCAGAATTGAAATAGTTCAGGCTAGCCACCACTACACTAGCAATAAAGCCTCCAACTGGGTTGGTAGGTTGGTGAGCTAGCTTTGGGACCCCAACTTGTTAAAGCGCTATTAGTGTGTTTTTTTTATATATATAAATAATAATCCAAGACTTAGATACTATATCTTAATGGGTCTATTATGATGATTTTATTTAATTATATCATAAAAGAATAATAACTGTAAATCAACTGAGTTTAAATAGGAAAAGCGATCACAATGATATGTAAAAAGGATGCTAGCTAAAAGAGAAAAATAACAAAGTTTAATTTCAAGAAAACCCACTTCTAAATGACAGGGTTGAATTTAAAAAAGAAAAAGATAAAAAATAACCCAATTTAGCATAACAAATCCACAAATCAAGTCACGAGGTGGAATAATTTTATATAAAAAATTAAAAAAACAATAATATCCGTTCCCAACATTTTAAATGTAGAAAGATAAAATAAAAAAATAATCAATAAAAAAAACCCTTCAAAAATAAAACACCAATAAATCTCACAAGTCAGATCATGCGAATAAGATAACTTTTTAGAAAAAATAAAAAAAATCATGAAATTTAATTTTTTTAAAAATTAAATGTTGAAATGCAAAGTTGAAAAAATATTCAATCTTACAAAAAGTATTTACAAAAAAAACCTAAGTTAACCTATTACATCTACGACTTAAAACATTAGATTAAGATAATTTCATAGAAAGGAAAGAGAAGAAAATTGTAAAGCTCGATTTTCAACAAAACTAATGAAAAATAAAATTAAAAAAAAAACGGTGTTTAAAAAAAATCTAAAAGAAAATCGGTATCAATCTGAATTAATATATCAAATCCATGATTTTGATCATGAAATCAAGATTACCGTACAAAGAAACAATTATGAAGCAAATTTTTAAAGAATCTAATATTATATAATAAAATTAAAAAAAATATTTTTTAAAGAATCTAATATTATACAATAAAATTAAAAAAATTATAATGAGCATCTTATAATTAAGCTAATTTGTAATTTGCAATGAAGTTCTTGAATATTACATTTTATAGCTTTGGTCAAAGAAAATCATGAAAAACAATAAAAAAATAATAATACTCTCATATATAATTAAATATAAAAGATAATCATTATCACACAATTCATTATCTCCTTTTATGTTAACTCATGATCTCATGTTTTTCATGTCAAATATAAATATAGAAAAAAACCCAAACACAAATCCACTAGATGGACCACAAGAATTGTTTAAAGCTAGATGAGGTCTGGTTTGAAGGTTTTGAGAAAAATAAGAAAGGAATTATCTTTCAAGTTTGCATCTTCTCATGTTCTTTCTCTTGAAGGGAGCAGAGGATTAACAGTGCTAGAACTTGCAGACAAGATTCAAGTGAGCTCTTTTGTCTGCCAAAATTAATTCCCCCGCCGTTAATCCCTCTATCAACCTACCTATCATTGCAAGGAGATGATGGCAAAGGTGTGTGGAGGCTTCCCCAAATTTCAAGTCTTGGTATGTAGAATCAAACCAGCCACCCTAAAAATGACCATCAAAATCATGAATATTCTCCACCTTAGACTCCAGAATAAAATCACAGCACAACTGGTGTAGCCAAAAAGTGATACCATCTCCTACTCTCCATCAATATCCATTCTGGAGCTCGACGAAACCCTTACAAATGGAACGTCAAGCATGAGAACTTGAACGCGACATTTAATTAATAATTAATGCGACATATATAACTCTTTTTATGGTACTATTGACTTTTTTCTTGTGCTTATTTTTAAGGATGTAAAGTGTTCTTAGCTTTTAAATTTTAGGTTTTAAAATGTAATATTTAAAAATTTGGTAGCAAAATAACAATAATAAAATAAAATTATAGGATGCTCAAAGTAATTTATCTATTTTTAAAAAAGAATCTAAAGAAAAAATAAGATTTAAAAAAATTATATCCAGATTTAAAATAAAAAACAAAATAGAAGAACACCTTTATTTTTTAAAAAGTAGCATGAATCTCAACGAGAGGAGATAAAGACTCAAAGAGGAAAAGGAAAATAAATAAATAAAAAAAATCCTCCACAAGCTTCCAACCAGTCATGCATCCCTCATCATAAAGAGCTTCTAACATAATTTTTAAACTCAATTCAGTGATCAATCGGTATAATATTTGGATTATGGATTAGAAGGGTTGACCCAAGTAATTAAAATGCATTAAAAAATCTTCAATAAAATACCGTAACATATCAAAATAGGGCATATAAGAAATTAGATGTTCACTTCAGATATGAAATTAATTAGAAGCCACCGAATGCAATATTATATTGATGGTTCGAAGTAGCTTCGAAGAGGAAACAATCTCTTTCAAGTAGTGTAATGTCAGCTTCAAAAGAAAGAGGCAATGGTGGCTCTGGAAAGCCCCATTTCAGCCCATCTTTAGATCCAAAAAAATGATTCTCAGTGGTGGAAGGAGCAGAACACGAATCTGCCATTTTAAAACAGTTGGCGGTCATTACACACATCCTGGAAAGAATGATGAGCCAACATGATTGAAAATAGGCACCACTTTCGCCAATTTCAGCAGCTCTTTGATCTGCTGGGCACTGTAATTGAAAGAAGAAGCATGTTGGGTGTGGAAGACGAGCACACGGGAATGCTTGTTCTCTCCTGCTTGCGGTTGCGTGTGTTGGAAATTAATGATTTTAATCCCTTATTCGTATCACGCTATTTAGAAGAACAAAAAATATATAAAAAAATAAATTGGATTTCATCTTGGTTTTGCTGGTTATCAAGATTTTAAGTCGATATGGAAGGTTATCCAGTTTTAATGGAGTAAATTACAACTCTGGTTTTTTATTTTACAAAAATCAGTTAAGACTCTAGATGAATTCGTCAGGCCGAATTTTACAATTATGTTCTTACAAAATAAAACAG